GAGGCGCATCAAGTCCAGCTAATTGATCCCTCTACGAGCCATGGAAAAGGCAGTATGGAGACTCAGTCTACACAAGAAATTGAGCAGTCGAAAAAAGTTACATTGCAACGTGAGAGCCACGTTTTAAAAACTACCCGTTTCTTGGATGCAGCTGTATTCACTATTTCACCACAAAATACTATGGGTCAAATGAAATACTATCTTTTATAGATCAGATCAGATGAGATATGATGAAAAGACAATGGGGAGGAGGAAAAGAAGCAGGAAGATCCTGCAAAAGAAAGCAAAACAACCCTCTACTTAAAGAAAGTATGAGAAACAGGTCTGCAAAAGCAGTGGATCAAGACTTTCAACTAAGAGGACTTACGGAGGAAGAGATTTCATCTCCAGGCACAGGTTAGCCTTGTATAAATCCTAACCCTTCTTTCAAACAAACTGACCTCAAATTACCCATGACGTTCAGAAGAATTTTGTACTAGAAGAGAACTTTGGTGGTAATTTTGCAATAAGCAAGACAAAGCATTTGGAAGAGAGAGTTTTCCAGTGAACAGGATGATTTCACTTTGAAAAACTTCCTAACTGTTGATTCACCAGCTCTCCAAAGCAGCCCGGGATGGAAATCCTAAACTTGGCATGGACCTTTAACTAGTTTATTGGCAAAATTATTTAAATAAAGGTTCTTTGTCTATCTTACATTTTTCCAAAGATACAAAATTGTGTCAAGTAAAAACATAGCCCGTACCCCCCAGAGAGTATAAACTACATTGAACTTAGAAATAAATTTGCAAGAACAAAGACATGCCGTTGTAAGAACACGTTTCCTCAGTGACCACAGACCCAGCACGAGCAGGGAGCACAGCTATGTTGCAGCTGAGAGCCCGACTGCTCTGGACCCAGAAGTAACGGAGCATCAGCAATGTGCCAAATCCAAGCTGACAAGCTCTGCTGGGCAGCAGAGTCCTCTTCCACACCTGCGTGAACGTCTCTGCATGATGTTACGTGCTTCTCTGCAGATGCACCAGCACAGCTGAAGCTAGCTCTGATGTTTCCACCACGCTCCCCTGCAGAGGCGCAAATACATTTTCTGCTGCTTTTCTGTCATGCCAGTCTGGTGCTCACAACCCCTTATTTTCCTGCAAATCCTTTTAGAAATTAATTTTTAAGCAGGATTTGAATGTCAAGGGGGCTTTGTAAGCTGGGTAAGAGCAGTGTCCATATCAAGGCTTTCAGCTAGGAACAATTAAGGGAGGACAATTATAACCAAGTTAAGTGAGGCAGCAGTGGACATGGATTGAGAGCAAAGGATGCAGGGTGACGGGAACCAGAGGGACCTCAAGAACAATAAAAAAGGATGAACAGATACCCACCTCAAATGTATGGATACAAATGCATGGCACCCTGGGGAACAAGCAGGAGGGACTAAAGCTCTTCGTGCTGTTACTACAGCACTGTTGGAATAACAGATGTGATGGGAGAGCTCACATGTGGTGGGAATACTGTGATGGATGGATACAAGCTCCTCAGGAAAGACAGGGAAGAAAGAAGGGAAGATTGGGGGGGCTCTTTACATGAAGGAGCAGCTTGAACATTTGTGATGGATGGCAGTAAGAGTGGCAAGCATGTGGCAATGTATTATAGACCAGGCCATCAGCGTGATGAGGACAGTCAAGCACTGAAGCAGGTTGTCCAGAGAGACTGTGCTGCCTCCATCCTTGGAGATTTTCGAGGCCTGACTAGACAAAGCCCTGAGGAACCTGGTCTGATCTCACAGCTGATCCCGCTTGAGGAGGAGGCTGGACTAGGTCCAGAGGTCTCTCCCAACCTGAATTATACTGTGATCCAAAGCGTATAGGACAGAATCCCAGGCAGGAACTGTAGTTCTGAAATTGAGGCAGAGGACTAGAGCATCTGCTACCAGCCAGAAGTCTCAGTTTTGTGACTGTGTCTTAGCCATGAGCATCACACACACAAGCTCACCCAGCAGCTAACTGTAGGCCAAGGCTGCAGATTCCCAGGAAGCTATGGAGGAATGATGGAGCAGTGGCAGTTGTAGCAAAACCCATTCCTGTAGCTGTTGTGAGCATCAAACATTTAGGGGAAATAAAAAAAATCCCTGGCAATAAATATTAACTTGAAGTTAATGTCCCAAAGAGCATTTTCTCAGGGCAAGGAACTTTTACATGTTTTCAGTTTCCCTAAGCAGTTGAGAGCCAGGGAATGTGAGACTGCACTAAAAAGTATTCCCAGCGAGGGCAAGGGGCAGAGGGGCAAAAGTGTGTTTAATGCACTGATGTTCCTTACATGTGGCCTCCCCAACAGTCCCACCCCACAATATAGCACATCAGTGCCAAGTTTGAGAACTAAAACTCACTGCCTCACTCTCGCATTGTTTACATGTTTTTGGACCATATGAACAAGCTCTCAAATCCAGAGTGTCACCATAGTCCTTTCTTGGCAAATACCCAACCCTTGTTTTTACTGACAGAACCATATTGATTGTTTCTAAACATCTTCAATGTGATACGGCTGCTGCCCTCAGGAAATTTTAATCACACCATCCCTCTTGATTTGCTAAATACACTCCCTCAAATCTTGGTCCTCCTCTTCTCTGTCTGGTTCTCTTCCCACAGGTGGCTTCAGCTCCACCAGTGTCATGCAGCTCTTCTCCCAGACCCAGCTCATGCTCTAGAGAAGCTTACGGTCGGTTCTCCACCCCCAGCTAGCAGCCTCCTCGAAGAAAGCTGCCAGTCGGGCTTATTTATATCAATGATAGCTGCTCCTTGAAGTCTCTAGGCTTCCTTCAGCAGCCGGCCTCCAGCTCCCTGGACTTGCAGACATCTGAAATAATCACCTGTGCGTTTCCATTGCTATAACACTGCTTTTGGCTTCTTTCTTTTCTTTTCAGAAATTGGCCTGCAGCCATGACAAGGGTTCAGAACTATTCCCAAAAGGGACAGGCAGTCTAAACAGAAAAGTGATGCTGAACGGCGCTGCATGTACAGTAACCACGTTCTGCCCTGTCTTTCACAGCTTGAACGCCTATACACATTTACAAATGAAGCATGTGCTTCAGCGTGGCTCAACTGTATAACCAAATTACAAAGTTCATTGGTATTTGGCGACAAGTGTCCTGTGTCTACGTGTCAAAATTCTTATAAAATCTTTCCTGTGTATGTCAGAGTGAACAACTGTGAATATAATGCAAGTAGGTATACACTGCCACAGATCTGCTGTATGCTTCTGTCCCTGATAATTGCACTGCAGTATTACCCATTTTGTTTAGCTCGAAAAAAGAAAACTCGCAAGTACTCAAATACTTCCTTAATCTTCAAAGAGCTTCAAAATCTATTGCTGAGGAAACAGCAGAAAATGTACCTCTAGGTTCTGCAAAGATTAAGGTAGTAACAGACTCCTTACAGCATCAGTGCCAAGCTTGCTATCAAAGGCTCTGGGTTAGCACCAATAACAAGTTACAATAAACTTCATACCAGCCTCCAGAAAGAAGTTCACACACTAGCACCAGGATTTAGGTAGAAAACTAAGTTTGAAATTCAAGGCTCAATCTTGAAAAATATGAGAATTAATTCCTGTGACCAAGATAATGACTATGTGAGCCATTATTCGAGAAAACGTTCATGAGTCAGAAATGGACACATATGAGTATTATTTTAAACTCCAAATAACCTAGTATAGAATTGATCTGTAAGAGGGTCTTCATTCCACTGCCACCCTTTAGTCTGCCAACTGCTGGAAAGTACTTTTCCTTGCCCAGTTTTTACAAGTACTTTGGAAGTATGCATTACTGCCCACAGTATTTCCAACAAATAATACCTCAGGGAAAAGAGAAAACACACTTTTTAACTGTTCAAACACCACCATTAGAAAGAAAGTCTACACAAAATAATATACTGCTGCAACATTAAAGAATCTAAAAATACTGAAAATGAAACAGTAATCATAAACATCAATGTTGCATCTGTATGATAATCTCTGAGTTACAGTAATCTCTTGTACAGAATTTCTGTTAAGATTAAAGACAACAGTCTGTACAGTTGTTATCACCGTTGCCATTTAGTTTTAGTGCACAAGTGGCTCTCAAACTGGACAGGTAGAATACTCACAAGTGTACCTGGAAAATCTCTCTGACATTTGCCTGCCCTCCACTTCCCTTTCTGACTTCCTTCCTTCCCTCCCCTCTCCCCTTTCTTCTGAAAGCACTCCTTTTGTGGCAGATGGACAGAGAACTCAATGCTTTAAGTCAATGAGAAGCATTGACTCTGGCCCAACTGATCTGGAAGGGGGACAGTCACCGTTCTGCTGAATATCTGAAAAACAAGGCAAGACCAGGAACAGGACTCCAGCATGATACATGATTCTCTATGGATCTCTGCAAGGGACAGATCCCTCTGCAAAGGATAGTGAGAGGAAGGCTTTGGTGTCGCGTAGTAGGCATCAACTTTGAGGAGAGTGAGGAGGCAAGAAGGGCATGCAAAAGCCCCTGCCGGAACCTGAAATACAGGTTTAAAGTGAAGTTGAAGGCAAGATGAGAAACATGAGTGTATATACAAGTGTGGGTGGGAACCAGTCCTATGGGTACAGAAAACAAGAAAGTTGATTAAAGAAATTTGAGATCAGGTGGTAAACACAAGAGCAAAACCACTTTTCCAACACAAAACAGTTGCACTATCCTTGGAGAGCAATGCTTTATGAAACTGCAAACCCTACTATCTAATTCCATTCTCTTTATTTTGTCTTGGCACTATCTATATGAATGGAAAACAATTGCAAAAATAGATACACGCACTTTGGTTTTACAGGCTTCCAGAACATGATTGGAATGGAAGCAAGAGTTCTAACATTCATCTTCTTTTAAACTCTGGTTTCACTGAAAGGCGGTTCTTGAGCTTTTACTTAGCCTATCCTTTGTATGTTAATCCACAGAATTCCCAAAGGCTTTTTCCCATGCTGCTCCTGTCAGTCTTTTCTTTTTTTTTTTTCTAAAGAGTGCCCAACTGAAGGCTACTTCCAAAATGTATCTGTAAAACTTGCATTTGAATGCTGTTCATTCATAAAACAGATGGAAAAGTGAAGAGTAAAGAGGAGAAAAATGTACAGAAAGCAAGCAGACCTGTACAAAAAGCATCACGATGGAAAACAGAGGTCATCTGACTCTCCATTTCACCATACTAGAAATATTACAAGTAATGTTCTTCGGACTGTGTGTCACATTCAATTCCTAAAACAGAGTATCAGCTACTGTGTTTCTGTGCTGAAAGTCACTTTCCCACTGCTTTTTGTAGACTGTTTGCATTATTTAACTTCAAAGAATCCAAGAGGCTTCTGATTGTTTCACTTCCCATTCCTTTCATCCTATTCTTCATCTTGCTGGGATTACTTTTTCCAAATGGTATCAGTAGGGCTGCCAGTCCCCAAGGTTCTTTATTGATCATTTGCCGAGTTTTATCTTCTTTCTGTAAAATCCAGGCACTTTCTCTAGCCATAGCTACAAATTTCTCCAGCTGTGGCTGATTAACATTCTTGCTGATATTAAGGTCTTGTTCAAAGGGATTCCAGATATAAAGAGGAGACGACTCAGGTTTATTTACTTCCTTTCCCTGCAGACAGTGTAAAGAAAAAGCCAAAGTTGCATATGTGTATTAAGGCTAAGCAAGTAACAAATCACTTGAGTTATTACATTAGCATTAAGAGTAAAAGTATTTTGACCTAGTAGAGAACTTTTTGCAAAAAAAAAAAAAAGTCATTATTAATCAAGTTAATTTTCCTGTCACCCTGACTGTATGACTGCTGTTCTCTGAATCCTCTCAGTGGTGGTTTTGCTTGCCACTTTCAGCTTAGATTTCCTTCAAGGCAAAGAACACACAACTACAGCTTAGCCTGTCTTGTTGGCCACTCTCCCATTTGCTTTTCCACAAACCTCAGACTTCACTCATTGCAACCTCCTACTCCTATCTCCATTTGTGTATGGGCAGCATGAGTGTGTCATATTAACCTGCATAGCCCAGTTTGATAAACTACTACAAGCACTTAAACTGTTCAAACCATTCCTCTCACAGTGCTCATTAAGAGCTAGTATAACAGAACAAGATTACTGCCTTGGCTGAAATTCCTCCCAGTTCAGTCTGTCTTTTAAGTACAGAACTATTCACGTCATGGTCCACTTTTGGGCACTTGGTATAGAATGACACAAGTTGTTGACAACTATGTAGTTTGCCATTTAAATGCACTTCCACCTCAGTGCTTATCAGTGCTCCTTAGCTGACCTGCTCTGTATTACAGAACCTCTGCAAGCCTTCCACCGCAAGCTCTACCAGGAGCCTACCAGCTAATGCTAGTCCAGGAAGTGTCAACGTACATGCTACATACTCTTGCCCAGGGCCAAAAGCACTGATTAGTTAAACAGAAAAACATCAGCAGCACAGACATTTCCTCTGTCTAGCTCAGGCTCCAACATGTGTACGTTTTTGCTTGGCTTTTTTAAGGCTTAATGGCAAACAAAAGTTCTCCAGCTTAATGAATTAGTTTCTAGGATCAACCTGTAGCGGCAAAAAGAGCTCTTATGCCAGTAATCCACAGTGCCCAAGTAGGAAACAGAACACAAACAAGAGTGTCCACACAGCAACATGGCACTGAAACCCCCATCCTGTAAGCAGCCCAGCAGGAACAGGTGAGAGTTAAGATAGTTACATTTATATACTTTTCTATTATATTTGCGCACACACACACATGTATCAATAAATAGCATGACTTAAACACATAAAGTAAACCAAAGTGATCGTGCAGACCTCTTGGCAAGCACAGAATGATCATGCTATCTGTCATGCTGACTGAGTTGTAAGTACACTTACTGTAGGCTGATACAAACCGCAGCAGGAAATTCAAGTGCCAAAAGCAAGTTTCAGAACTTAATTGTAAGTTTTAATGCAGACACTGGGTCTGGAGTCCCAACTTTAAATGCAAAGCCTGTTGGCATACAGGGTTTGTCACAGACTTTTGCTATGACATACATCATGACATTTTAAAAGTTTTCCTCTCACAGAAGCAAACTATCTTCTACTTTTTAAAACTGACACTTTTATTACAGGTTTTCAGAAAATCTTACAGGCTTAGCATCAGAGCTTGTGCTTTCAAACATCTCCAAGTAATGACACTGTAAATGTTCTTAATGGTGCTGTAAGTGATTAGGCTCCAAGAGGAAAACTCTCTTCCTTCACAGAAAGGACTCAATTTCTGGATATAACCAATTTAAATGTACTTTGTATACACAATTAAAAATGACAGAAATTGTTGCTTAGCATATGTAGTTTGTCAAACAGCAGACAGAGAAATTCAATTGATAATGATGAGAGATTAAAATTCATTTACCTTTCGAAGATTTATGGAATTCTTTCTGAAATCAAAGTTTCCAAAATATTCAAAAAAGTCACCCAACAATACATCTAAAGGAAAGAAAAACAATAGCTATCAGTAACATTAAGAAAAAGTTTATTTTCAATATGTTTATAAAAATTAAAAAAAAAAAAGTTGATGAAGATTTACCTACCAAGTGTTTCTCTATTTTCTGTAGGTTTAATCTTGCTTAAATCACTAACAAATGAGCAATCATATCCTCCAATTACATGCTTGTCTGTTTCATCTGAAACAAAAATCGCAGGCATATTTTGAAGTGATAAACAATAAAATGCCATTGTATTTAATAAAATTCATATAACAGACATGACTGAATTCAATGAATGCTATCACATCAAGTAAACCAAATCAGGAGTTCACAAGTGAACTTTCAGGTTAAGATTCAACTTAAGTGGTTAAAGATTCAAAAGAAAGAAGTCTACAGACAGGCAAAGGAAAAGAAGCACGAGTAAATGATGTATTTTCAAAAGCCTAGAGGAATAAGGTATATGACATCTTTGTATCCCTGAAGTTACTTCTTTTAAGTAACAAACCTGATATCTCTGCATACAGAGCTTTATTATACACTAAACAGCACAAATCTCTGAGGTTAATACCTATATAAGGGTTTCAAAAAAATCAGACCCAAAGTGTCCACCGTCTTTTTCTGAAAAAATTAAGAGAATTAGGAATATTCTTGTAAAATTTCAGGACAGGAGTTTTGGTTTATGTATAAAAAAATCTATAGAATTCTGATGGAAATGTTTAAACTTACTTTAAAGCAACTGAACACAGACCTTTTTCTCCACTCAAAGCACTCAAAGCTTCCAAGGAAGCATGTCAATAAGCAGAAGGCATGAGTGAGGAATCAAGAACTTGGGGTGTCATTCTCTATGCTTTCATTATATTTACAGAAGATAATACACCCTGAAAGCTATGTATGAAACAGCCGGAACGGCTTGTTTGCGAAGATACAAGAATTATTTGCAGATGGCCTGAACACTCTCAAGGATATTACAAATTGTGAGGAAAAAATATAGCCTTTCTTTTAAACATTTGGTATCTATAAAACAGTACACATCATATCAATCTGCTCCAAATCCTTAACAACTGCAGAGACATTTGAGACCCTACAAGTCTTCTAAAAAACAAAATACAAAATAAACAAAAAACGGCCAGCATGGGAGCATTGAGCAAATAAATTACTTTCAATTAGCTGAGGCATAGAACAAGCCTAACCCCTCTAAATAGAATTTAGTATTGTATTGAAAATTGATTTATTTTGCCTTTAAAAAGGCATTATTTTCACCAAAAAAAATACAAGTAAAACTTGTATATTCCCTCAAACTTAAGGCACACATAATATGCATTAGTATTTGAGAGCATAAAGAAATTGCTTGGGTTTATTCATCACTTTAGAGAAAACAAATGTGACAGTCACTTCAATAAACACATAAACAGTTGTCCTTACCTGCCAGTTCTTTAAGTTGGTCTAGTGTTGGAATGATAGGTGGTGATCTCTTTTGCAGAAAAAACATGATCATCATGGTTAGAGAGAAGTTTGTAATCCAGGTACCAGGAACACTATTTGTAAGTCCATGAACACGGGCCCAACATCGTACAGTGAACACTAGCGCTCTTACACGGGAATCAAGACAGCCATAGATATACAAGAGTTCTGAACTTTTTATAGCAATGCTGAAGAAATGAAAAGACATGTAAAAAATGAGAGGATTGTGAAGTACCAGATGAAGTGTTCATTGTTCAGCCCTAGAGCATCAGTTATAAGGGAAGAAGGTATCCATAAAAAAAACATTTAACTTCCATGCATTTAAAAAAATAGAAGAGAATGCCTGAAATTGTCCAGGATTAAATGGTAGTTTTCCTAGTAGTAAACCTCGTAATTTTCCATAGTAAGAAGGATACAGTTCTGGTAAATAATAATACTGCATTTGCACTGTTTCCTGTTTCCTTGTTCCACATCACAGTGGGAGGGAAAAAAAAAAACAAACCACCAAACCAAAAAACCACCATCAAGTACTCAGGAGTGAAACTATGCAGAATCAAGGTGAAAAACATAATTTAGCCACAATTGCCTTTGAGATACATTAGATAATATCTCTATCCTAATATATAATAAAATACAACTAGAACTTCTTTTACAACTTTAATCTAAAAAGTAATAAAATAATGCACTGAAAAATACATGGAGTGCAGAGACACAATGAAATCTGCAAAACAAGTCAATTTGGTAACTTTCAAATGATTTTTTTCTGCTGAAAAAACAACTAATGTGGAAGGATAAAGGTTTTCAGATGGATCAGTTTTTGATGTGCTTCATCATATGGTTGTACAAACATTCATGTAGTGTACAAATGGGAGGGCAAGAAAAAGGAGAAGAAAAATGAAAGCACAATGTGAGAGCAAAACTTACTTTGGGGTCAGTTTTAGTCTAAAGTGCTTGTTGAACTACAGTTGCAGGAGTTTTTACTCCCAATCTTGCACTGAATTCTTCTAAAAATCCACCATAGCATTTTGGGGAAGTTTACCATGTCAAAGTTTTGTTAACACCTAGACTTCTAAAATGTAACTGTGAAGTGCTTCCTTGTGTCCACAGAGGTTCGTTATTACTCTAAATGATAACAAGACAACACACACAGTCCCAACCAGCCAAACCATCAGCAGAGAATTACAAGGGAGTTTGCACAGAACTGCATGCTGACTTTCCCTGCGGCTGCATATATTAAAGTAATTTTATTGGAAGACATTTGCTCAGTACTGCCTTACCAACTCCTGCATATCCTGAAACAGAACTTTGGGTAATTCAGAAAATTCAGTCTAGGATCTGATTGTATCTGATGTAGACAAATCACAAAATCTGCACTAAAAGTCACATCAGAAGTATTCTGAAAGATAATCACTCATATTTTACTATTCCCTAACAACAATGAAAAGGGTTAGTAACTCATTTTCGATTATCTACCCTTATGCCATGGCTACAGATGTATACTGGATTAAGGTGGGTATTTCTTAATAAAATAAGTGACAGCAAAACAAATTATCTACTTTACTATCAACCAAATGAGAGCAAGCTGGAAGAGGAAAAACAGATGCAAAGAGAGGTATTTCTAAGAAGCCTGCTCCCTCTATTGGGCACTGCTGTGAAAGGTCCTAAACGACAGTAACACTTCAGACTCCTGTTTTCTGCTGCAGCGAGTTAATTTAGCATTCAAGATACCTTGCCAGCAAACAGGTGTATGCAGGCCCTTAAGAAGAAAAAAAGGACACTGAAATAACTAGAAGCCCAATCACTGAAAATTAACACAATGGAGCTGCTTAATCTGAAAAGCAATCAAAAGAAGGCTGTGCATATACACATATACACGAAGGGAAGCAATGACTAACGAAGACTGACTTCTTTCAATTCCTTATAAGCCAACCTTATTGTACAGAGTGGTTTAGAAGTCTTCAGTTTCAGCTGTATTTCTTGTATTTCAGCAAGTATTTTCTATGCTGGAGAAAGATATCTTAAGCAAATTAAAACCTAAGTTCTAGAAGTCAAAAATATCCTTTTTACTTTCAGAGCCAACATTCACATTTGTTAAGAACACAGAAAGGAGTAGACTAAACAGTTTTCACTACAGGTTTTGAGAACATAAGTACATTAGTATTCTTCCTAAACTTTTTAAAACTAGGTCTCACCTGTTGCTCACTGACAGATCACACTGGAATCCTGTTGGTTGATGAGAAAATTTCACCAGTGGGCAGCGAGCATTGAGTATCTTCTGCACACTCACACATCCAGGACCAAAATTATCAAGGCAATCACCAATCACAGAAAGAATTTTCTGAGTTGCTAATCTTTCAGATGGTAATCTTTTCATCTGATATTCCATTTCAAAGGGACCTTTTTTCTAACATAGAATGTTAAAAGTAAATTGTTAGCTCTGGAACCAAAGAGACATTTAAGAATACTTCTGAAAGACTACAACAATTTGCAAAAGAGTTTGTACAATTAGAGATTGAAAGACAAGAATTATTCAAAGCAGCCCGCAGAACTTAAAAAAGGTGAAAACATATTGCTTCCTCTTTTATATTCTTTTTCAGTGATTCAATTTTTCCAGGTTAATACTGATCAACTTACTGTAAACTTACTTGTTCAGAGGAGGGTATAATACTACTACATCTCACTATTGCCTGAAACAAGAATTCTGGAATTCCTGAGAGAGCATTTATGCTCTGACTGAAAAGAGGAGCATACAATTAAATTAAAGAGGGGCAAAACACAACCAAACCATCATTAATTTCAAGCAACCAGTAATTCCATTTCAAATCCTCAAAGAACAATGCATTATTAGTGAATCAAGTAGCACCGTAAAGGAAAATGTCTTTTTCATTTTAAAATATTAAAAATATTAAAATATTTAAATGCAAATTACTTAATCCTTCAAAATGAAGATAAACTTCTGTAAGACTTAAAATAATCGCTTCACATCAGATACAGTTTTTCTGACAAATAAAGCAAAACGTGGAGATGTATTCTGACACCATCAGACATGAACTTTCCTGTAGGTCTTTGTATTTTGAATTGTCATATTTGTAGTTTATACCTCAATAAAATAACTTCATACCTATGAAATCTCTGTTCTCTTCATAGTCTCTCTATGTTTTTAAGCCTCAGCTAATCCAACACTTGACACTGACTTATCCTCCCCCTTGGAACATGTCATGGGTGAATGCATACTACACAAACATTACACAGTGACCTAACGTCCTCTGAAACACAGAGGAGGTTACTTTTGTTGTCACCCGGTTAGTGCAAAGAAAACATGCACTCATAGACAGGTGAAACAATTCAGAAGTTATGGACCTTGCAACCCACAAACTCACTTTAGGTGCTGAATTTCTGAGTCGCTCTGGCAATCGCTGCGGTGACTGTTCCTGCTCTCCTCTTGCCAACAGTTCTCCAGCCAGCACGTGTGTTTGAACATACCAGGACAGAGGTCCCTAATCCCATTTGGCTGTGTAGCTGCATGCTACAGCAGGGCTGGCTCAACGTGAAAGGAGCTTGTAACTATCGACATTGAAGTAGGTAGCAGAAAAGAAAAAGACTCGTCTGACATGTAGGTGTGCTGGTGTTCGGACCTTTATGTTTGTGACAAAAATCACATGTGCCTTCCCAGACAGCAGCTCAATATCTCTCAGAAGCTGGATGAAGAGGTTTTTTTGTAATGATAAAACAGACACTCCTAATACTTGGTAGGACCTTTATATATAGCTTTGGTGCCAGCTGTGGGGGATGAAGTACTGACACGCTTGCCCCAGCCCTGTGGTTCTCCCCCTATTCTTGCGATATTGCTCCGAACAGCAAATGTAGATAAAGTAAACTATTACTTTGGGGTAAATTGATATAGTACCCTCAGCAAGAAGCATAACTGTTTTAACGCAAAAACTGTTACTCTAAAAGTATCACAGAACTCTGTTTTAAGTCATTCACTAATCTCCCAAACTGCCCACATGTTAAAAATGCCGTACCTGTGGTCAAACACTATATTGATAATCCACTCTTGGTAAAGGATGCTCCCACTTCCGCTGCTTTTTTAATTTACAATCAGTAATCAGTTTGCCAAAAGACTCAAAAAATGATATTTAATGTAAATAGGTGCTGAAACGCCTGGTCCTCCTCCTTTGTTGGTGCCTCCTGAAAGGCTGCAATAGTGCAGAAATCAGAAGATAGCCTTTCCACTGCTGCTATATCATCTTATAACTAAAGTTACCTCCCCTTGTCTTCACTTTTTCTAAGACAGTCAACTTATGTATACTAGTGACACAGTTTGCCAGGGAGAATATCACTATTCCTATAAATCACACTGCCAACTATATAGACTTTTGCCTTCCTTTGAAGTGTTGCCTGTTGCCTATTACAGGAGATATACCCAACATCTTATTTTCCTACCGTATTGAGTTTACGTGGCAAAGTTTTGGTAGTGGGGGGACTGCAGGGGTGGCTTCTGTGAGAAGCTGCTAGAAGCTGCTCCTCATGTTGGACAGAGCCAGCTCCAGGTGGCTCCAAGACGGACCTGCTGCTGGCCAAAGCTGAGCCCATCAGCGATGCTGGTGCCACCTCTGTGATAACATATTTATGAAAGGGTAAAAAATGCTGTGCATCTGCTGGGAAAAGAGGAGTGAGAAAAATGTGAGAGAAACAACCCTGCAGATACCAAGGTCAGTGAAGGAGGGGGAGGAGGTGCTCCAGACACTGGAGCAGAGATTCCCTAGAAGACCATGGTGATGCAGGTTGTCCTCCTGCAGCCCATGGAGGTCCACGGTGGAGCAGATACACACCCTGCAGCCCATGGGGACTCCACGCCAGAGCCGGTGCATATGCCCTGAAGGAAGCTGCAGTCTGTGGAGAGCCCATGGAGGAGCAGGGTCCCAGCAGGACCTGTGACCCTGTGGGGAACCCATGCTGGAGCAGTCCATTCCTGAAGGATTGTACCCCGTGGGATGGACCCATGCTAGAGCAGTTCTTGAAGAGCTGCAGCACATGGGAGGGACCCCATGCTGGAGCAGGGGAACAGCATGAGGAAGGAGCAGCAGAGACAAAACGTTATAAGTCCGCTGTGCCACTTGGGGTGAGGAGGTAGAAGTGTTGGGAGTGAAGTTGAGCCTGGGAAGAAGGGAGGGGTGGGGTGAAGGTGTTTTTAATTTTGTTTTTTTATTTCTCACTATCCTACTCTGTTACTAACTGGCAATCAATTGAGTCTGTTTTGCTCACGATGGTAATTGGTAAGTGATCTCCCTGTCCTTATCTCGACCCACGAGCTTTTTCATCTTATTTTCTCCCCCCATCCTGCTGAGGAGGGGGGAGTGAGAGAGCAACTGAGTGGGCAGCTGGAGGCCAGCCAAGGTTAACCTACCACACCTACAAAGTACAAAGCTCTCTAGGTGCTGGCACCTTAGTTTCCCATTTTGGCTGTTTAAATCAAGACACAAGAGTTACACTAACGACTTTTACACTCCTTTATAGGACAATGCTCTAACATACCTTATTTTTGTACATACTTTCTCAGTATGCATTAAGAATATCTCATTGATGCAGCAGATATGCCCACATTTAGTGCTCCAAAATTTCAACAAAGCCAATGAGATCATCATCTTCAGTGCATAAAGACTGTGCTTGCACACAAGACAAAAACCTCACTGCACCACACAGAGTAAGTGATGACTGATGTCCCTCAGGGTCCGTATCGGGACCAGTACTGTTTAGTATCTTCATCAATGACATAGACAGTGGGATTGAGTACACCCTCAGCAAATTTGCAGATGACACCAAGCTGAGTGGTGCAGTTGACACGCCTGAGGGACAGAATGCCATCCAGAGGGACCTGGACAAGCTTGAGAAGTGGGCCCATGTGAACCTCATGAGGTTCAACAAGGCCAAGTACAAGGTCCTGC